CACTCTGGAAACGCAGGCCTCCGGGGGCTCCAGTTATGGCCTCCCGGCTTTGGCGGACTTTTCCGCATACTGCTTAAGCACTTTTTGTGAGCGACTCATCTCCCGTCCCGTCCGATCCACTAGGTGTTCTAATGTGCACCTGGGATTTGAGCCGCAGCTCCGGGATCTTGACCTTCCGGCCTTTTACTTTCTCAAAGCGCCCTAAGGCTTTGGCCTCCCGGCCTTTGTATGGCGATTCCTCGCGTCCCATTGGCCGCTCACCTGGTGATGGGCTCTTCCGCTTTGGCCGCTGTCTACCGGCAACCTTCCAGTCGCCCTCGGCTTCTGGAATGGTTGGCATGGGTAGTTCCGACGGGCTTGGGGCCCTCACGACCTTTGCCGCCTGTTGGGCGCTTCTCTCTTCTGCCTCCTGGGCCCGTTGCTTTTGCTTCAGGAGGCGGTCGCTCAACGCCTTGACTTGGTCTTCGGCGGAGGTTTTGGCTTCTTGTGCCTCACGGCTTTGTTGCTTCGCCTTCTTCATGGCCACCTCCTTTTCCCGAGCTTCTTTCTTGGCCTTGTTGACGGCGATTTCCAGCGAGGCAATTCTCTCCGTGGTGTCTTCGTCCCGCTTCTCCCTCGCCTTCTTGGCAGCAGCGTCCGCCACTTGTTCCACGAGCTCCATGATACCAGGGGTTTGCAGCAGCGCCGCCATGGTCCCCTGATCTTGCTCTTGTTTCTTCTCTGCCGCCGGTGGGGCACTCGCTTCCCCCATCGGCTCATCTTCCTCTATGGGTGGCGGAGTGGCTGTGGAGGGTCCAGCCGTGTCCTCCCGGACTTTTTCACCTCCTTGCCCATCCCGGGCTTTAACTTCACCAACCGAAGTCGGTGTCCCCTCCCGGGGTGTGTCAATCTCTCCCAACGTGTCGGGGGTACCCTTGCGGGCAGAACTGTCTGATTCCTCGGCCTCCATGGCGGAGGCCGGGGAGGGAGCCCGTTGCTCCGCGCTTGCGCGTCCGCCCAGGCGGAAGCGTGGTAGCCACCCTCAGGTGGCTCCGAAACCAAATGATACGAAAAGACTATGGGTGTGGGGTTCCTGCCCTCTTTGAGCCGCGGACCTGCCTCGCCGGGCACCTAGGTCCTTACGGGGACCTAGGCGGGACCACCCCTCCTACTCCCATATCCTAATACCTAAAGTGGTTACCCTGGGTTGAGGATAGTGTTCTTGGGCAGGGCGTCCCCCACACCAAGGGCCAGTAATAGGGCGTCCCCCACATCAGGCCGGTGCGCGTAACAGGCGCCCTTTCCCATCAACCCTAGGGAGCCGTTCCAAGGCGGCATAGGCAGCGGCACTGGGCGCCCGGGAGGGGCGGCTCATGGATGGTGCGTGGCTCACGGGCCCTAGGTTTCCATTCACGCCACCCTAGGGCCCCGTTTCAAGCCGGCCGGCACGCGCGGACGAAATGGGCACCCATGGTGCACCAATCAGGGTGCACAGCTCGCGCATCACGGGCGCCCATCCCGCAAATCACTTGGCGCCTTTCGCAGCTTGCGGGGCCCATTCCCGCCACCCGCGCAGGCAGTCCTTGGCCACTGCAAGAGGCGCGAATGGACGCCCGTTGAGGTGCCAATTATGCAACACAAGTCGCGCCCTGTGAGCGCCCACTCACGCCAACGGTAGAGGCTGTCCCAGGCCACTGCGGGCGGTGGGAATCGGTGGCCGCGAAGGGTCAGTCAGGGCGCGCTTCTTGCACTTTGCCGGCACCCATTTCCGCCACCGGCGGAGGCCGTTGTAGGCCAGCACCTGCAGTGGAAATCAGTGCCCACGAGGCGCGAATCCCTAAGAGCTTCTCGCGCCTCGCTGGCGCCCATTCACACAACCGGCAGGGCTCGCTTCGGGGCATGGCGGGTGGCGTGATTGGGCGCCTGCAAGGCACTAATCGTGGGGTGTATCTCGTGCCTCGCGGGCCCCCACTAGAGGTGGCCACTCAAAGATGCCATCCGGTCCGTTAAGTCCGGTTCGTTAATTTTTATCAGCTGCCCGTTAAATTCCGTTAAAGAAAAAGGGAGAAAAATTCAGAGAAAACGAAAAAAAATCTAAAAAAATTGAAAAAAAACCCAAAAATCACAACAATTGCGGCTAGTTGAAAATCTAGTACGCATAGGTTGAAATAAAATACAAACATACTCTCTAATAGCGAATTCCATAAACTTTAAGTATGAATAAAACCCAAAAATCCCCAAAAAATCCAAAAATCCGTTAATTTTTGGTTAATTTTTGTCTTTTTTCGTTATTTTCTGTTAATTAACGGAAAATTAACGGAAATTAACCTCCGTCCGCTATTAACGGATCCGGGTGGCTACCTCTAACCCCCACTCGCCATCAGCGGGGCCCGTTCCAGGCGACCGCGGGTAGCGCGAATGGGCGTCCGCGCGGCATTCATGGATGGGCGGCCCATCTTCCTGCGCCCCTCGCGCCTCGCGGGCGCCCATTCTATGCCACCGCGGGAGGCGTGGATGCGCTCCCATGAGGCACCAATCTAACAGCTTGTCTGGCGCCTCGTAGGCGCTCATTCGCGTCGTATGCTGTGGCCATTCTAGGCCACCACGGGCGGTGCGAATGGGCGGCCACAAGGCGCCATTTTTTGGGCACACTTCTTGCGCCACGCAGGTGGCCACTTGGGCCACCGGTGGGAGCGCATTCGACGCCCCTACGCCGCGGCATAGTTGGCCGCCCGTTATCCGCCCATCCGGGGGCCGTCCCTCGGGCTCCCAGCCACGCTACCCGATGCTCCCCGGGAACATTGGCGCCTCTCCGCTGCTCGCTCCCGCTGGCGCCCGCTGCCAATCCAAGCAGGTGTGATCGCCGGGGGCGGGCGCTCGCGAGGTGCCACGCTCGTGCACCCCGACGCATCTCTTGCCATCCGCCTGTGCCGCGCGCCCAGGCCCGAGTGCACCACTGCTTGCCGGCCTGGCGCGCTACCCCCGGGCATGCTCCTTGGCTCCTCCAGATACCGCTCTGCTGACCTGCCGTACATCCTTGGGAGCGTGCAGGCGCAAAGTGACACCGAGCTGACCGTGCTCCACGCAGAACAAGCAACTAGGCTTCAAGTACTATTTATTTTTGGCACAGCACACAGTACATGTGCGTTGCCCCACAGGTCCGACGATATGATGATGCCGTTTATCGGGTTATTCAGAGGACGCCGTGTGCGCAGCGCGTGCGGTGGTCCGAGCTTGTCAAACTAACCTATTTTAATAAAAATTTCTCACTATGCATAATTTTGTCACACAACCATCTACTAGCATATACAACCTTGCCACTTTTGCAAGCCGTACAACCTCCCCAAGCCTGCCCGACCACCGCGGACACCAGGCCCACCACTGCGGACAGAGGGAGCGCTCGTCCCGGTTCAGTGTGCCCGAGGAGGGGCATAGAGGGGACTTAGCGTGCGTTTAGCACCCCCCAATTGGGCAACGTGGAGGGCCTGACCGCAGGCCCCCTATTTACACATTGTGGTGGTGATTCAGCCACCCAACAGTCAAGAATAATATGAAGGTGGAGATGATGAGTTGACTAACTAGGAAGGGGCTGGAGTTATTTAATTTTGAGCCTCGGGAGGATGCCCTAAGTGCTGAGCGATGTCCATAAAGATGGCTAAGAATGAGTAGTATGGCATGGCAAATTGGCAGTGCCGTGCTCATAGGATTGAATAGAGTTGATATGGACAGGGGTCGTGAGGGCTACAGAGAGCATCACAATGAGTGGTGTGCATATGGGATCAAAGGTCCCATGCTAGATGTGATTAGATTATCAGTAAATTAGCTCAATTTTGATGGCAGTGATAGGTTGGGTAACCGTGCGATGCATGGCTGGGAATTTGATTGGATTTGGGCAGTCCATAAGGGTAGTACAAAGATGGGACTCGAATGCAGAAAAATCTTGATGTGAATAACAAGAGGTATTATAAGAAGGATAACAGGGAATCTTCTAGAGCATATTCTGTAGGCTGTGTGGTTGCGAGCAAACTTAATAATGTATATAAACTTATTGGCCGGCAACGCCATCAACCGCTAGTCTATAATCTATGCTTGGTTATAATTGTAGCATCTGGCTAGGCCTCCTCACCAACTAAGGAGAGGACATGCGAGGCCAATTGAGTATCTCTTTTTAGGGAGGGACTCAGGCCCTATGTGCGACCGGCATGAGACATTCTGCCTGCATGTTTTTGGCCGTTTTATTGCTCAGAATCAACCCCGCTCAACTAAATTCAAGTCAATTTTTCACTACTACCCTTTGAAGACGTCTGGCCATGGCGAGGCCACGATCTTTACAAAACAATGTGCAACTTTTTTGTTGTTTCACAATAAATGCACCTCGATTAGTCATGGGTAGGTTCGCAACCCAAACCCTGCAAATTTCATGGAAAAACAACATCCAACTCCACCTTCGTAACCAGGGATACCAGCTCAAGAACACCATGATCCACTATGAAATGTCTATCGCCTGGCTTTAAGTGTGCTTTAAATGTACCAAATTCGACTTGGTGCTTTCCGCGTTGTTCAAAGTTTGTATAACTGGCAAAATCCTATTCATCTGACTTCTAAGCAATATTGGCTCACTTCTATCATGCACCAGCCCTCTCAAAAGGTGTATGGTTGCCAAAAACGATTCGTTTCCACCTGAGTTTTGATTGGTTATCATAAGGAACGTTACGAAAAAGCTAGATACAACCAACATAACCTCTTAACGTCTTCTTGTTTTTCCCCTCTTCCTTTTGGCTTCCTTTTGTTGCCGCAGGCAGCTATCTGCACAAAAGAGTCACAACTTACGGCTCATTCCTCGGTTTTCATGCTCGACGGCTCTACTGGGGTGGTGGTCCCAAGCTCAGTCGGCCATCATGAACTAAATGTGTAACGGAATTAGTAAATGTGTAATGGAGGAATGTCAATCTGTCACCATGGCACCACAATCTCTCCACCCACGCTCCCACTTTCCAAATGCCCCAGGGCTGCAGGCACAGATGGCGGACAGGACAATGGTGAAGACCAACAGCAGGCACCCGGGGCTGCAGGAGCTGGACCCCAGGACGGCCTTCCTGTACACCCCCCACACCGTCACGTGCCTGGTGCTGGGTGAGTGGCCAGGAGGCCCGGAATCAATTGGTTGATTGCGAAGCAAACCACGCGCCGTAGGAACTAGAACACCTCACAGCTATTCCATGACACCTCCAGTTGGTTAGGAACGACAATCGAGCGGGTTAGGAGCGATGCAGGGTGACTGCACACCAGGTCTGTCGCTCCCTGATCCAGTTGCCGTCCTCAGGTAGGCTGTGAGATGGCCGACTGCGGTGTGCCTTTCCGTGATAGCCTGTTCTGACGAGACGGCTCTGCGTGGTAGGAATTGGTCTGATCGTGTACAAGAGCAGGGTGTTCGACGTGCCTCTGCCGCCAGACGATGAGGAGGCGCGGCAGGAGTTCTCGACTGAGAATGCGAGGCGAGGGATATGGGCAGTGATGTTTGTGTTTATGGGTGAGTGCTGAACTTGGCGCTGGCGGGGAGCTGACGTCTCGCCATCTGCGCCGAGTTTTTCCAAGCTGGTGCCTCAGCACGCCGAATTTGGTAAATGTACGATGCTGCTGATATGACTGCAAGGGCCTCAGTTCCTCCCTTTCCGCGTAAATCTTAGCTGATTGCATTTGTGAAAACATGGCCGACTATTGCCAAACCTATATCAGCCGTCATCTTTTGCAGCAGACCCAAACGTTGGCTTGATTTACAGTTGCGAAAATTTCGTCGTTGGTGCAACACACCACCGCTCAGATGGAAAGAGTAGAACTGAGCCTCTCGGTTCGGCCCCATCTGGTGCTCCACCTTTGCACAACTGGTTAGAAAATGTTCCTCTTGTGCCAGCCCCTTGTGCTCTGCTGTTCATGCAAATGAGCAGTGCCATGACGCATGCCCTGCTTCTGTGGGTTTTAGGGTACTCCATCCTACAGAGCCCCAGCACCGCAATGATCAGGCCACACCCTTCCTTTTGGCGACTTGTTAACTCAGTCGCTGTTATGTATCTCATGTTTATGGTTTGGCTGCTGTTCCAGGATGTGAACGATGCAAGGCAATTTTTGAAGGTGAGCATGGTAGCTTAGTTAATGGATGTAATGGTTGCATTTGTACAACCTCAACAGCACTCCATGCTTCCATGGATTCGAATGTTCTGACCCCAATACAAACAGGTTCAACAATCAACGTCTGACTGGCTGAAGGCCACCAATATGAATGAAACCTTTTGGTAACAGTTTGCATGTCAAGGAGCACAGCATCAGAGCAGATGTCTGTGGACATCAGATGCTGCCACTGTATCCTCTTTTCAACAATCTGCAAATCCATGTTGCAAGCAATGGCTGACTGTGTATGGTCCCCACGTCCTGCAATCTGGAGAGAGATTTCTAGGTTGTTCCTGGTTGGCACCATTTCTTGTGCTGGTTCCCCTGATGATGATCCCCATCACCCTGTGCTTCAGCACTGAACCTATGCTGGCCAGACAGGCTATTCTCATATAAACATTGCTGAAATACCGTGGAGTACTGGGGATCTGGCACATGCCAGCAGATTTGGTGGACAAAGGGAATGTATGCTGTGGAAGTTGTGATCATTGCACCTTGTGAGCCACGGATACCCAGCTTCCGCATATGCCTTGTTGTCCATCTTTACCAAACATGAACACGTGTTAATTCTCTGTGTCCTCCAGGTGTGGATGTTAGTGTAGGTGGTGGGGAATGTTTTATCATTGTGTGCGAAATGGAAAATGTTTGCTTAAGGTTGCCACAGTGCTATTACATCATCTTAGTTCTGTTGCTTGGCCCTTGTCAATGTCATTACCACAACTGTGTTGATGTGAGTGCATATTTGAGACATGTCAGATTTGTATGTCAAACACCGAGCAACTTGACCCACTTTATGCGCTGCATTGTACATTGTGCACAAATGGGCAACTTCAAGGGCACTTCTCGCCATATTCTTGGTAGACTCACAATGCAATCCAGAGAACCAATAATGGTATTCCAGAAAGCTGCTTGCTTCAAGTGCCTTTGCATGGTGCCCAGCAACAATGCCAGATGAAAGATCTGTGCCAACTCATGACTGATTGAACATGGGTATCAAACCTGAATGATGGTACTTGTCAGCTCATGGTAGCCCTTTACTCTAGCAACCACTGGGCATCTTGTTGCTTGGTGTCACTTTGACCCGCAGGACATGTTGCACGCAATGATATCTGTAACCTCTTCTTTTTGGTGTCATAGTAGGTTAGTGTTCTGCCTGCCAATTCAGTGCTTCTGTTTGCAGCACCTGTCAGAAGAGCTGGGAAGGGAGCAACCAGAGCGCCCCTATGGAGGGAACTGCCAGCTGTGGATTGAGGGAAAAGGCGTGAACTGGGTTGCAATACAGGAAACGGTTCTTGATGAATTCGTTGTGGCCCACATCTTGGGCTGGTGGGCAAAGGCAGTGATGATAAGAAACCACTCCCTCCTGTGGGTGTTGTCCATTGGCTTTGAGCTGCTGGAATTGACCTTTCAGGTATATAGAGTGCTTTCATCTTCATTGCAGTCATCTTATTAAGCACACAGATTGGTATGTTTGCCCAATATACTGAGAACGTCACCCCACAGTCTGACAACCTAATTATGTCCACTGCAATTGCCCTGGCAGGGGCAGTAAACAAGCAACACATTTTTCTGCCGTTGCAAAGCTCTACCGAGGAGGCAAGGGGTGGCACACTTGCATTGTGCAGCATGGTGGATTGTGTATGAGTTGTCATATATGACAGGTGGTGCCCGGCATGTTGAACACCAGCAGACACTACCACAGCAATGCCATGCAGCATCACTGGTACTTGCAAGGCAGTGGAATGCCTTTGCATGTTGTAGATGGCTTCCACTTGCATAGCGCTTGTCCAATTTCCATGTGGTGAGCTTTTTGATGAGGCAATTTGTTGGCAGGCTACAAGAAACTGATTCCGGAGAATGACCTTTTGTGTTTGGGTGTCTGTTACAGCACATGTTGCCAAATTTCAACGAGTGCTGGTGGGATAGCTGGATATTGGATGTTGCAACTTGCAACCTGTTGGGTGAGTGTGCAAATTGTTGTCATTGGTGTCGCTGCCTGTAATTTGTGGTGCTCATTCTTCTGCGTTTCATTGGCTTGGCATTTTGGCAGCATGCACTGATTCTGTGTTGACCCAGCGACCACTGGCAAATTGAGGGTGCTCCTTGGCAGCTTTGTTCTTCGGGAGCAGCAATGGCACCTCAATAGATCGTGAGAGCCATCCTCATAGAAGATGTGGTGTACATCTGCAGGAATTGCCATGGGAATGTGGACTGTGCATTACTTTGACAGTGCCTACAGCACATACAATTGGAGGGGGATCAGTGAGCAGCCCACACTTGCTGCTAAGGTGCGGCTCAGGCAGAGTGATACACATGCTTAGGCAAGGCAATACTCCACTTTGTTCAGGAGCGGAGGCAGAATCAGCTGGTTTCCAAACTCTTCGCTGGAGCCATTGCCACAGCACAGAAGCCAGGTCTGTTTTGTCACACTAGTATTGGCTATTCTGTTGATTCTTGTTCTGCATTTGTTCTTCAGGCAAAAAGGTCGTTTCTGCAGTTCCTTCCACACTCATGGGACAATTTTGACTGGGGAATGTACTCAGGTAAGTTGCCCACTGTATAGCCCGCTTTGTGCTTCACAACTTTACGACACCACTAAGGAGACCACGGGATTATTGTTTGGGAAAAGTCAACCAACAAGCAGCCTTGCAGCTCTTAAACTTATGCAGCGTCGTTGGCAATTTCCTGTTGAGGCTGGATGAGCTAGCTTCGTTTGAAAGAGGATGCCCTGCTTCCTGAGCATGCAAGTTGTGCTCGAAATGCAGGTGCCATGGTCATGCATTGTGCAGATACCATGGGGTTGGTGGCTCCTGTTGTTTCATCTTCAAAATCAACATGTTGCCAACTTAATATGCAGGTCCAAATTGCCTCTACTCTGCTATCTATGCGTCTCGTGTTGCCTTTAATGTAAGGAGCAGTCATCCCTGCTTGTGTTCAGAATTGCGCTTGTGGATTTTTTTTTGGTCCGCTGTTACCAGACTACACAGATTTGACTCTAAAGTTGGTTAAGGATGGTTGTTTTCTTCCTCCTAATCAACATGAGTGCTATCATGGGCTTTTCGCAACTGTGTATGTACAATCACAGGCCCCGGTTGTGGTAGGAGCTGAGCAATTCGTTACACAGTGATCCACTCTGGAAGTGCATTCTTGTGAACTGAAATATTCTCAGCTGAAACCATGGTAACAGCTGTCCATCACGGCATTGCCAAGAGGTTGCACAACCAATAATCCCTGATCTGTATGATAATTCTTGTGTACATCGCCTTGTGGCAGTGTGCATCAGTCTGGCATGCCGACAGGAGCAACTTACGTTCTCGGTTTGGGAGCTTGGTGCAAATAAGTCCACTAGTCCAAATGCGTTTTTCATCTGCATGATGCCCATTGCTTTTCGTTGAGTTGAACCAGCAACAGTTTGTCGACTTTTTAGAAGTGATACTCTCCAGTTGACAACTTTCAATTGTGGATGGCAGTGATGTTGTGGACTTTTGTGCTAGCCAGGTCCAACGCGGTGTATTGCAGTGTTTGCCATGGTGGCCGTGCTTCTTGCTGTGGAGGTGCAGGCTTTCTTCTTGAAGTACATCCTGTGGGTTCCACCACGGAACTTGTTAAACACATACCGGCTACTCATTTGGTTCGCAGTGGGGCTTCCTGCTGTTCGGGAGTATTACGAATTCCTTGAGGGTAGGGCACCAGAAGGGACTATCTTCAACAAGCTGGGGGTCTTCGCATGGCTTGCCACTGCGGTGAGAGTGCTGTCCGTCGCAGCACATATTTATCTTGTCCAGGATAAGTTACCCTATCACCACAATGCTTGCTTTGCAATGCGCTTCCTTGCCTGGTGACAAGCAGGATGACATTGCAGACCACAGTCACTGTAGACTGTGTATTTCACAAGGTAGTAATTTACAAAGTCAGTAGCAGCACTGTTTTTTTGAAAATGCTCCTTCAGCATGAAGCAGCGTACATGAGCTCACTGAAGTGAGCAGGGCCAATACCTTTGGGGAAGATACGACAAACCCCTGTCAAGCTGTAACAAGTATGCACACCATGCACATCAGGCCCGGCAGCGACGAATGCTACATCAGGCAGCCTCTGTGTGATGACAGTATTGTGTATCAGGTTCCCTGGCTTTGTGAAGCCGTTGCAGATTTGTATGCTCCCTGCAGTGAAGAATCCGCATTGCACAATTTTGTGGCCATTTCCTGCTGAATTGAATATGCCTTCGACTCGAAGGTATGCTCTGATATGTTGTATATGGCATGGGGATGCCAAACTGTTCATACATGCTCATGCCAAGACCCTCATATCTTGTGTCACGACTTCATTAGCTCTTTCCATTTCTACTAATTCATTACAACAGGTCAGCCTTTGAACAATATGCGCTTGCCACAGCCATCAGTGCCTGTTTAGCAGCTTCGCTGCTTTGAGGCAGAACGAATGGGTGTGTTTGCCAACCGTCGTGTCATTGCCGCTTGCACCTGAATTTCCCTTTGCGTCAGTTTTATTTTCTGATTTGACTATTGCCTGTGCTTTGTATCTGCAGACCTGTCTTGTGGAGACGTTGGTGTGCATAAAGTTCGGAAAGGGACTCTTCACAGCTGCCTGGCCTCCGAGTGTTGTTCTTTGCTGGACAGTTGGTGCCCTGGCACTAGTCGCAACCTTAGTGGTTTGGAGTCTTCGTTTGTGGTTGCAGACTGGCAGACAAAAGAAAGTAGACTGAGGGTCAGACTTGTTCAGCAGTACCTTGCCGGTGGTGAGCCACGTATCTCTCAGATGGCGCAGGTAGGCTTGCTAATTGTGCAACTGATAGCAAATGTTGCCGGCTGAGTGCCACCATTGCCGGTGCCAATGCCACATTGGTTGTGTATGGGGGTCTGTTAGTCGGTTGAATTTGACAAGGGTACTGCACAAGTCCAGCAACTTTCGTATCAACCGGATCCAGCAGTACCCGCTAGAAGGGATTGTTGTCCTTCAATTGTTTTATCCCGACAGGAGCAAGAATTCTGTAACAAAACAAATCAATGGCAGCATATTTAATCGCCAACAAAGGTGTATGTTGCGTCAAGCATGAAAATTTGACTATCTGGGTCGTTTGGGTGTGATGCTATGTTGCTCTGTTTCAGAGGCCACCATTTCTAGTGGCTGTTGAGAGCCTTGGTGAAGCTTTCAGCGCGAGTGGGTCATTTGCAGCCCATATATTGCAGCAGGCTGCTCAAAACTCTTGCTCCCGTTTTTCAAGCTGCCACTTGTATCGGCTTTGGTTTGGTGTGGTCGGCGTATGTGTTACTTCAAATTAGCACTTCTCGTGGAGTTTCCGGCCTTGGCTGGAAATTCAAGTATCTCTGAGTATGCTTTGCACCAAAGTGCAGCAGAAACTGTGTAGACAATCTTACCCTCATAGAAGCGAGAGGAAGGGGCATAGTGGCAGAAGAGGAACAATGGGTAAGAAATGAAATTAATTATGTTGTTTATGGGTTTCTGCCAAGGGAGACGATAGGTGGGCTGCACTGGGTGATTCAAAGGCGCAGTTTAAACTTGGGCTAACTCAACCCCTGCCCTTTGGGATCTCTGGCCACCCTAGTACTGTGGGTTAGTCAAAGTACGAAAATATGAGGTGCCACCAACGTTTGCGCCCTCGGGTTAAACGGGCTTTGGCAAGGCTGAGTAGGGGCGGCTATGTAGGCTCTCCCCTTGGTCTGCCTCCTTATCTGGCTTCGCTTCGTGCCACTTCGTTGGCACAACCCAAGGCACCGAGTGCCTTGCCCTCCCCGCCATTCTGGGAACATTTCTTTCCATGAACCGCATGCTGGCTGAGCAGTGTTTGCACAACCAAGCGGTTCAGTTTAACAATGGTCCACCTACGGCTTCTCTGGATGCCATCTGCTTGCCCAACCGCCGGATGTTACCTTAGTCGGTCACCAACCCGGTGGTCCGACCACCGAGGATACAATTCCCAAGTGGTTCGACATCCACCGGACCTCCGAAAGTGGGCTGCCCACGTAGGCACTCGAGGTGAACTCTGGCTACATCTAAGAGCACAAAAACTAGGCACCCTACATCTCATGGCAGTTCAACCTAACTGCCAACTTGATCAACTTCGTGGCGCACCCCGATTTCCCGACCCAATTTTAGGACGCCCTTCTGCCGTACGTCCACTACTTGGTGATGACTTGACATGCTTACAAAGCCTCATCAGGCTTAGCTGGCCCATAGTGAGCAGAAGGGGACCTCCCTCGATGGGTTTTGGAAGGCGTTCCAAATGAACATTTGATTGGGGGGCGGTGCATTGCCATTTTTGGGACCCGCTCATTGATGAGCCACTCAAGCACCGTTACACACATAGGCCTCATGTGGGAGACGCCCTACTAATGGTCTCTTGGTGTGGGGACGCCCCGCCCAAGATACGGTAACAATACCCAAACCGGACCTTATACTAGTATATGATATGGGAGTAGGCCTGGTGGTCCCGCCTAGGTCCCTGTAAGGACCTAGGTGCCTGGCGAGGTGGGTCGGTAGTTCAAAGAGGGCAGGTGCCCCATAACACTAACGTTGTTGTATGATTTGGTTTCGGAGCCACCTGGGGGTGGCTCGCACGCTTCCACTGCGCAAGGAGAGGACAGCGCACGGAGACTCTATCCCCAGCCTCCCTCATAGATGCTAAGGAAACCGATCCCGCAGCTCGTGAGGGCCAGGCTAGTGACATGGCCGAACATGCACACAGTAGTGGCGAACCGGCGGCGAAGGCTGGTGACATGACAACATCCCATGAGGGAACATCGGAAGCTAAGGGCGCAGTCTGAAAGGACGCAGCAGGAGGATCCACTGGTCAAGCACAGGCTGAGGTGCACGACCAACCGATGGAAGAAGTAGGGGAGGCCCCAACAACCGCACCGGCGGAGTTGGGTACCTTGGCAGCATTTCAACAAGCTCCTGGAATGATGGAGCTATTGGAGAAGATGGCGGAGATGGTGGCCGTCATGGCGCAGGAGGCACGCGATTAGGAAACTGCGGCTTGGATCACACATCTAAAGATCGAGACTGTTGCAACCCAGAAGAAGGCGCACCACAGTGAGGTGGCCTTGAAGAAGGCCAAGAAGCGGAGCAAGGAGGCTAAAGTTGAGAGAGCCTCCATGCAAGAGCAGGTGGCCGTTCTGAGCGATCGGCTGCTGAAGTAAAAGCAATGGGCTCATAAGGCGGAGGAGAGGGCCTCGCCAATACCCACATAGCCGGAGAGGGCCCCCAGTCTGACTGAGCTGGGACCATCTTTGCTGAGTATTCCAGAAGATACTGGAGAATGGAAGGTGGCCGGCCGACCAGGGGTGAAAAAGAAGAGCCCTTTGCTAGATGAGCTCTTCCCACAATCTAGCTTAGGCAAACAAGTAGGCCCATCAGCCATCGATTGAGAACCTCGGGTGAGATCACCCGTGCATGTGAAAACCCGTAGTGATGAGGAGCAGCTCAGTGGGGATTCATTGATGAAAGTGCCCATAGAATATGTGACCCGAGCCCTAGCAAGCCTGGGAGCCTAGCATGGAACCCGCATAGGCCGGCGTTGCCATAATGGAGCCCGCAAGAGGATGCTCGAGTGTGGAATTTGAGCCAGACCCCGTATCGCAGTATAGTAGTCCGCAGAGGTGCCAAGCCATGTGGACAAAATTTCATTCAGACTGGCTCGCTGACCTTGGCGAAGGCTAGAAAATGGCCTCAGAAAGGTTTGGGATGCACTTCATCACCACGAAATTCATCAAAATTCAGCAATAGTATGGGCCAAGTATGGTAGACCAGATTGCCAGAGACGATCCCGACTGGCCAGAAAAAATTGCCTTTGCACTCACGCACATCCCTGAGCCACAGGATCAAAGTGAAGGCAGCCCCAAGAGGCCATATCCGAATGACCCTCACTTTTGTTGGGAGGAGATTTCAGAATTTTCCTTTTGTCCTCCACCTCCCATTTGCCCGGGGATATGTCAAAAATGGTGTAGGTACATCACATGGAGAAGGAACATTGGCATGCTCATAACCGAGAACGGTTTGCCCGTGCGTAGCAACTCGATGTGTATAAAGCCCATCGGGACCAACGTCGCAAAGAGCAAAAAGCTCCTAGATGTGAATGGGATAAATAGTTGAATCCCGATAAGTTTGGGCAAAACGGAGCAAGGAAATGCTAACGCAGGGCTGAGGTCCTTTAATTCCTTCATATGAAGGAATTGGATTGCATGCATGCATGCAATTGCAATGCACGCATGTATGCAATTGCAATGTATGCATGCATACCAGCTGTAACCAAAAGGTACAACGCATTGAGTCCATCAATTTGGATGACGAGTTGGTCCCAGCGGCGCAAGCCAAAGCACTGGAGCAACTTGAGTGATGGGTGGCGGATTAACCGCCACGGTGCGTAGTAGGGAAACCTTGGCCAGGCCCTCCGCGTCGCCCAATTGGGGGCGTGCTAAGCACGCGCTAAGACCCCACTACGCCCCTCCTGGGGCGCGCTGGATTGGGGCGAACGCTCCCTCGCTCCGCGGTGGTGGGCCCAGCGGTCCGCGGTGGTCGAGTGGGCTCGGGGAGCCTATACGGCTAGCGAGTGAAGGAAGGTTACACATGCCAGCGGATGGTCGCACGATAGGATTGGGCACAGCAAGAAAAGTTTGTGAAAATAAATCAATTTGACACACAATCACCTCTATTTATACCCCGTATCCGACATGGATATTTGGTGTAATTCAAAGCCAACTAAGCGTCCAAAATCAGCCTGACACAACCCCAACGCGTGCCCAAATGCCCAGTACCAGGAATTTTTGCTCCAAAATGGCAAAACTCAATAAAAACTCCCTTGTGGTCAATACTTAACCATATAAGGCGAACAAAGTACCGTTAGAAAGCCAAAATAAAGGGCTATCCAATGAAAATATAAACTTCAGATGATTTTCTCACTTAAGCTCACATGATTGAGCTGTAATTGACTACCCCTGAGGTCCACATAACACTGCCTCCCCCTGGGGGAAGTTTCGCCCTCAAAACCTTAGGTTATCCAGTACTTCAATTATCCTCTACTGGGTTGTCTCGCTCAATCATTTTCTTGAGCTCTACTTGAGAAGTGAAGTTTTTTGTTGCATTATCCAAAGACCAGTGCTTCCATAGTACTAAAAATTTCTTGGTCTTCTTCTTGGTATTGGGGTCTCTCCATCTCCAATATAGTAATTTCTCCACCTCATACTCTTGGTTATCTTTAGGCTCAACATCCTCAATTTGATCCGCATGCGTGGGATGCTCCCATTGGCCTGTTCTAAAAGGATAAAGTAGGCTTACATAGAAGACGTTATGAATCTTTTAGGTTTTAGGAAGCTCCAACTCGTAGGCCACAGGTCCAACCTGTCGGTCCACAAAGAATGGCCCTACGAATCTTTTCTTGAACTTCTTGACTTGAGCATTCTTCAAGTTCAGATGTTCATTAGATAGCAACACCCGCTCTCCAGAGTTGGGCCCGGCCATATGGCATAGGAACAGAAATTGGGAAGGTCCCCGTTCCCGTCCCAAGAACGGACCCGTTCCCATTCCTGTCCCAGTCCATCCCAGTCCGTTCCAGTCCATTCCTTGGCCGTTCCCCAGGAACGGATTTGGACCGGATTTGGGCCGGGCCAGAACGGTGTTGGAACGGATCCATCCTAGCTCAGGAATGGATCCATTCCTAACATAGAAGTTCAACGGCCCCGTCCTTGT